AAGAAAAGAAAAGAAAAGAAAAGAAAAGAAAAGAAAAGAAAAGAAAAAGAAAATGGATGGATAGATGGATAGTTTGATATATGGTTGATAGATGAATAGCTATATGAGAGAGATTGATTGCCAGGAACTAATGGTGCAGTGGCTGGAATGCCATATTGCAGGTTGACTCTGCCAACTGCCAGCAGTTCAATTCTGACCACCTCAAGGTTGATTCAGACTTTTGTCCTTCCAAGGTTGGTAAAATGAGGACCCAGATTGTTGGGAGCAATATGCTGACTCTTAGAGAGGGCTGTAAAAGCACTATAAAGCAACATATAAGTCTAAGTGCTATTGATAAACAAACAAACAAGCAAACAAATAAACAAACAAATAAAATCATTCCTATGCATGGTGAGTGAAAGGGTTCATTCATGCTTCTGTTGCTTTGGTTCATTAATCAAAACTTTTGTAAGCTACCAGGGATAAAATGAATGGGATGAGCTGTGATTCAAGGGATGAAAGAAAGCTCTTCCAGGATTAAAGTCATGCTTTTCCCTTAAGAATGCAACAAGTCATAAATGCTGGTCTTTGTTCTTGCTGGTAAACTGCCTCTGAACATGGAGGATCTATATTCTGAATCTTAGCTCTGGAAAGAACGACCAAGTCTTGTCATATAAGAAAATGCATCCATCATCTATCAAGCAAGAGGCGTCACAGGGGCTGGGTGGCTTGGCATAATTTGAGTAGCTACCTTCTAATTAGGATTTTAACTAATCTGCTGGGAGCCTCTGACAATTAATATTGATGAGACCAGAAGAAAGAAATGGGAGGGGGGTGGATCAAAACTAAATTTGATTTAATTTCACAGTAATTTGAATTTAATTAACATGTCTCAATATGGTCGTCCTCTGTGTGTTTAAGAGTGTTCCCTTTCCATCACATTAAAAATTATAACTTGGTTGCAATTGGGGTGGGGGGCTGCATTTGAGCATTTCTGTGAGCAGGGTGGAAGGGAGGAAATGGGGCGTTCGTAGGTTGTTCATCTCCGCAATAACTTGAAAACAAATGCTCTGTTGGAAGGAGTGAGTGGTGACTCAAAATTATTTACAAAATTAATATATCAGAAAGACAGGTTAGAATTCTACTGTGGGACGCTTGATGCTCTCTGAACTTGGTTGTTGTTGTTTTGCAGACATTTCATTACCCAACTAGGTAACATCACCACTGCTAGAACGGAGTGGGGTTTACTTTCTATTTTGGCACTGATGATGTTGTCTAGTTAGGTAATGAAACATCTGCAAGAAACCAGCAAAGCTCAGAGAGCACCAAGGACCCCACATTTCAGCCCCGAGCTATAAATATTCTCATCTATTAGAATTCTACTTCTTGCCTTGCAAGATTGGAGGTCCCAGGAAAACAACTTTCAATTTTGTGACACAAAGGTGCTTTCCAAAAGAACTTTCTTGGAAAATACTAGAGTGTGCCGAGATGGATAAGTTGACTGTGGAGATAAAGGAAAGGGAGGAAACGGATTATAATTTGACGTGGAATGTATTGTAGGATTGGTTAAATAATAGATATAGAGTTGAATAGAGAAGAAGACAATAAGATAACAAAGTAAAAGATATAGTGGACAAAGATAGATTAAGCAGTATAGACAAGTGTATAGATAGTTAAGATTGATGTAAAAGTATGTATACCGTCATGAAAGCATTGTAATGAATGGAAATGATCAGTGGTGGGATTCAATTTTTTTTACTACCGTTTCTGTGGCTTGGTGGGCGTGGCTTGGTGGGTGTGGCAGGGGAAGGTTACTGCAAAATCCCCTCCCCTCCCCACCCCACTAACCTGCTTTTCAGCTTCGTTCTCCTGTGCAGGGCAACCAAAGAAGATCCAGCTGATCAGCTGGGACTCAATGGGAGGCAGAGAATAGATGGGGTTGGTGGGGCCAGTCAGAGGTGGGATTTGCTGGTTCTCTGAACTACTCAAAGTTTCTACTACCAGTTATCCAGAACTGGTCAGAACTGGCTGAATATACCACCTCTGGAAATGATGTATATAAGAAAAATTGTTTAATTTGTAATCCAAAAGATTACAAATAAAGATAAAGCATATTTATATGTTTTACTAATTGTTTTCTTTTCCTCTCCTAGCCATATTTTATCTAATTCTTATGGGGTCATATTAAAGCCAAATTGTTCTCTATCTTAAAAGAAGAAACAGTCACAGAATCTATGATAATTTGGGCTAAAAACGTGGGTCATAGTATTGAATTAGATAAGTGGGAATACATCTGGCAAACAAATTACAAATTAACCATGTCAGTCTCGTATAAACTTATATAAAATGGTTCATCGCTGGCACCTACCTACCTCCTGCGAGACTGGCTAAGATGTTCCCCAACCTACCACCCAACTGTTGGAAATGTAACTACACACAAGGAACATATTTTCACATGTGGTGGACTTGCCCATGTGCTCAGAAGTTTTGGAGAAATATTAGAAATTGGATTTTAAATACTGTATAACAAAACAAAATTTAAAACTTGAACCCGAAAGCTTTCTGCTGAGTATGATAAATTTAAACAGAGAGAAAAAACAGAAATATTTAATTTGGCACATCATAACTGCGGCCAGAATAACCTACGCACAAAACTGGAAACTGTCTTTCATTCCTTCAGAGGATATGGTAATTAAAAAAAATACATGAATGTGCTGAGATGGATAGCCTTACCAAATTGTTAAAAAATAAACAAGATAGTGACTATTATGAAATATGGAACATTTGGTATGATTGGTTAAAGAAAAGGTAATATTTGATATTTGGATAAGTTATGGAAATGACAGAAGACGTGCATTTAATTATAAACTATATAGAGAAATTAAAACATTAAAAGAACGAAGGAGTTATTGTAACAAGGCAGATCACGTCAATGATAAAGATAAAGAAAAAAAATTAACCATTGCTCAATATACGCTGTAAAATGTATATATGTATATACATTTTATATATATATGTATATGTATATATGTATACGTGTGTGTATATATATATGTATATGTATGTGTGTGTGTGTGTGTGTGTATTGATTTGTCTGTTTTAAATATATGTCAAATAAATGTTTTTTTCTAGAAAAAAAGAAAAAAGAAAAATTGTTTAATAAAAATTATTCTTTTTTTAAAAAAAAGACTTTTTTGGTCGCAACACAACAAGAGCAAAGAACGATAGAAAACCAAGTTTTCTATCCTACAGTTTAGATATTATCACACACACACACACAAAGATGAGAGAGGACACTGACATGTCACAGAGTACTGACCATTGAGTGAGAAATCTGTCTAACAGAGAGCTTACTCAAACAGAAAAGAATGTTTTATATCAAGAAAGTCGATTGGAAAAGCAGCTTTGGGACAACCATGACCGGGATGATTGAAACTGTCTATAGACCTTCAATTTTATGAATTCCACACTCTCCAGCATGAAGTTTCCAACCGACACCAGACATGAGACAGTCGCTTTTCTTACCGTGATCTTCACTGTGTTATTTTCTGTTTCTTTGCAGGGATCCTGTTTACAATGCTAGTGTTTGGACCGGCCTGTGGATTTATCCTGGGATCTTTGTGCACCAAAATCTATGTGGATGCTGTCTTCATTGACACAAGTAGGTAACTTTTCCCCACCGGGGTTTGCACATTAGAATAAGAACATTCTTTTAACAACAGGCCATGAAGCGTCAGAAGAGAAAGAAGGAAGAAAACCTGTGTCTTTTGAAAGATTTTGGGTGAAGCCAGATGTTACGCCTGCTGTCTGGCTTGTTAGAGTTTTATTTGTTCCTAGGGGAATACTTAGCTAATCTTAAGTGATCTTGAAAAAAGTTGATCAGGGCTAATAAGGTGGAAAATAACCAGGAAATATGTTCAATTGGGAAGTTGAACATCAAGCCACTGCTCTAGTGTAGACAATAGAAATTGCAAGAACGTTTTTTAATTGTACTTATATTTGCTGCAAAGGAACTCACAAGCTCCTTCCTTCTGTTTCTTGTTCTTCTTTCTTTCTGCACTTCTGCTTTTTTCCCTTTCTTATTCCTTTCTTTCTTTACTGCCTTTACTATTTAACAGCTTTTAAACAGGCTGCTCAGATGTAGTTAAAGGCAGTGGTGTGATTCAGATTTTTTTTACTACTGGTTCTGTGGGCATGGCTTGGTGGGCATGGCAGGGGAAAGATACTGCAAAAATTCCCTCCCTGCTCCAGGGGGAAGGTTACTGCAAAATCCCATTCCCTCCCCACCCCACTAACCTGCTTTCCAGCTCCTTTCTCCTGTACAGGGCAACAAAAGAAGACCCAGCCAATCATCTGGAACTCAGGAGGCAGAGAATAGATGGGATTGGTGGGGCCAGTCAGAGGTGGTATTTGCTGGTTCTCCAAACTTCTCAAAATTTCTGCTACTGGTTCTCCAGAACTGGTCAGAACCTGCTGAATATCCACCTCTGGTTAAAGGGCTACTGAAAGAATATATGATTCCATGAAAGGAGATCAGAAACTCAAGAGATCATGGGTGCAGAATTCAGTTTTCTGACCATTTTTTGCAATACCAAGAAAGCTTTGGGAATGAAAAAATAGTACAGTTAATGTCAAGCACCAGAATTCAGGAGCCAGATTTAGGTCCTAAATGATATGAGGTTATTTCGTGCTACCACTAAACAAGAATCTGATCTACTAAAGGTGAAGGCTGATTGATGGAAGATAATGGGTCAAGAGAGGGCTGCTTGACCCCTCCCTCGGGTTCAGCCTGATCATCTACAGATTAACAGAGTTGGAAGGGACCTCATAAGTCATCTAGTCCAACCCCCCACCCAAGCAAAAGACCCTACACCTTTTCTGACAAATGGCAGTCCAGTCTCTTCTTGAAAGCTTCCAGTGATGAAGTTTCCACAATTTCAGAAGACAACTTCTGTTCCATTGGTTGATTGCTCTCACTGTCAGAAAATTTCTCCTTATTTCTAGGTTGAATCTCTCCTTGATCAGTTTCCATCCATTGTTCCTTATCTGGCCTTCGGGTGGCTTGGAAAATAGCTTGACCCCTTCCTCTCTGTGGCAGCCCCTCAAATATTGGAACACTGCTATCCTGTCTCCCCTGGTCCTTCTCTTCACTAGACTAGCCATGCCCAGTTCCTGCAATCATTCATCGTAGATTTTAGCCTCTGGTCCCCTCATCATCTTGGTTGCTCCTCTCTGTACTCTTCTCTAGAGTCTCAACATCTTTTTATAGCGTGGTGACCAAAACTGGATGTAGTACTCTAGGTGTAGTCTTACTAAGGCTTTATAAAGTAGTAAGTACACTTTATTTTGATTGTATCTCTCTGTTAATGCAGCTTAGCATTGCATTGGCTTTCCATCTCTTATAGCAAAGTCTATATTAGTGGAACTAGATCAATGAAGGGTGGGGGGAGCTTAAGTAATCTTAGTCCCTTCCCAAGTGGAATCAAGTGTATGTAGTGGGTTAATTTAGGCACAATGAAAATGGCTTATGAAAGCACACTGAACTTCTAATTAATGGAATGGGGCGCCTTCATCTCTTGACTGCGTAAAACTTGCCGCATTGTGATCATCTTATATTGTTTAACTTTGGCTCCAGCTTTTCTCAATTGCTTTTAAATGTCATTTATCCAACAAAATAAACTGCTTTGTTTCCCATTTGGGAACCAGTGATGCAGCCACAAATCATTTGCCAGGTTAGACAAGCAGATCTCTTATGATGGATCACTGCGGGTTTCTTTTGACCCACTTGAGGAAGCTGTATAGTATAATCTTTTCCCAATTGTAGTTTTCCTGGCACTTTGGCACCTCATTGGTAGTCAGCATCCACCTTGAAGTTTCCAGAGAGATTTCTCATCTTTGTGTAACCTCAGTCGAGGGAGTCTTTTTGCAATCTGGGATTCCTAAAATCCAGATCCAAGATGGTGGGATAAAAAAATATGGATTAGGGTAGCTGAGAGTCAGATCACTTTAATGCAGTATTCTGGGAGTTGAAGTCTGCAAATGCTGGCAAGGGAATTCCGGGAGTTGAAATTCACACATCTTGAAGTTGTTAAGGCTAACAAACACTGTTCTGACATGCCATATTCCCAAATGACAAACTTTAGATGATACAAAGAACGGTTGCGGGAACTGGGATGTCTAGTTTAATGAAAGAAGGTCTAGGGGTGACATGATAGCAGGGTTCCAATATTTAAAGGGCTGCTACCAAGAAGAGAAGGTCAACCTATCCTCTAAAAGCCCAGAAGGCAGGACAAGAAGCAATGGATGGAAATTAATCAAGGAGAGAAGCAACCTAGAGAAGAAATGTCCTGAGAGTTAGAACATTTAAACAGTAGAACGCCTTTGTCTCCAGAAGTCGTGGTTGCTCCAATACTGGAGGTTTTTAAGAAGAGATTGGACAACCATTTGTTTGAAATGTTAATAGGGTATCCTGCTTGAGTAGGGGGTTGGACTAGAAGACCTCTAAGGTCCCTCCCAACTCTGCTATTCAGTTAGGGCAGTCCTTAAAGGGCTACAATTCCATTTAGCTCTCCCAAGATTTCAAAAGAGTATCTTTTCAAAGCCAACCTGTAGATGCCAAGAATTAAAAGAGCTTAATCTCTTGCATGCACACCTGAGGCAAAATTCATTCTTCCTTCTCCCCCGTGCCTTCCTTAGCAGCTAGCCGTAAAAAGTCACCCAGTTTTCAATGTGACATCAGCAGGTAAAACTATGTTTTCCACTGTTGCTCCTCGGTTTTCTTTTCCCCTGAAAACCCTCAAAGAACAGAATGGCAAGACGAACATGAATATAAAAATGCAGGATTCAAGTAACGTACAGAAAGTCTTCCACATACAACAGTTCCTTCAAGTGACCTTTTCAAAGTTACAATGTCACTGAAAAAAAGTGACTTATGGCCATTTTTCATACTTATGACCGTTGCAGCATCCCCAACGCTCACTTGATCAAAATTCAGACGCTTGGCCACTGGTTCATACTTACGATGGTTATTGTATCCCAAAGTCACACGATTTTCCCCCTTTTGCAACCTCCTGGCAAAAGCAGAGTCAATGGGGGAAGGCAGATTCGCTTAACAACTGGGTTACTAACTTATCAATTGCAGGGATTCATTTAACAACGGTGGCAAGAAAGGCTGTAAAATGTTTAAAAGTGAAACTCACTTTTAAAAATGTTTCACTTAACAACAGAAATTTTGGCCTCAATTATCGTCATTAAGACAAGGACTACCTGTAGAAAGATTATCTCTGGAAAACATTAGGATTACATCCACTCTGTTTTTTTTCCCCACAAGGGGGCAGATTTCCAGGCTGATCCAGGGTTTGTTTATTTTTTTTTCCCCTCCTGGATTTTAATAGAAGTAAAAGTACAAGAGAACATGGTAGATTAACTTTTAAAGAGAGGATCTCGTTCAGGTTTTCACATCTTTTTTCATTTGGACTATGATCATATCCTGTACCCTGTTAGCAAAATTGACTGCGTATTTCCTGAACTGATCATGTGATCCAGTGGTGGAATTCATTTTTTTTTACTACCGGTTCTGTGGGTGTGGCTTGGTGGGCGTGGCTTGGTGGGCATGGCAGTGGAAGGTTACTGCAAAATCCCCATTCCCTCCCCACTCCACTAACCTGCTTTCCAGCTCCGTTCTCCTGTGCAGGGCAACAAAAGAAGACCCAGCCAATCAGCTGGGACTCAGGAGGCAGAGAATAGATGCAGGCAGGGCCAGTCAGAGGCGGGATTTCCCAGTTCTCCAAACTACTCAAAATTTCTGCTACCGGTTCTCCAGAACTGGTCAGAACCTGTTGAATACCACTCTGATGGCATCAGAGTTGCATAGTTATTCCAGAAAGTGTTGCAGGCAAAAAAAAAAAAAGGCTTTCAGGCTGTACACACACAGGTGTGAGTTGGTGAGGCATTATATTCTGTAATCAGTTAAAAGCTATATAACAAAATTGGTACTTTCTTGTCCTAGTTGAAAAAGAAGCTGAAATTCTCTGCAATGAAAGTGGCACACAAGCCAGATGTTAGCATTTGACTTGCCCATCAAACCATCCAGATCATGCCATCCAAATGCATTTTTATCGGGGTCCATGGTGAAAACCTTTTACATCCAAAATGAAGGTTTTGAAAAGACTCTTCCTTATCAAGGGTGCTTGTCAGGATTCCCAAAATTTCTTTACCCTGCGGTAAGCAAAGGAAATCAATATTTGTGGCTGGAGTGAGCAATAGATCATATAACCACATCCAGTTTTTAAATGCTGAAATTGATTAGGCTAGGTTTGTCAGAAGCATGCCAGTTGATTGGCAGGCAACATTTCCTGCCTTTTAAATGCAATTTCACAGCACCTAAATTGTAAAAAAAAAAAAAAAGGAATAAATGTCCAAGCACACAGACTTGGAAAAAAAATAAATAGAAAAAGGGTGGGTATAGTTGCTGTAGATGGTGCATTTGCCATTCTTATTCATTTGTACTCAGACTCAAGAGCTGTAGTGGTTTGTTTGGGCTTCATTCTAAAAATCCTAAGATCTGCATCCGATGTGGATTTGTTTTTTTTGTTCTGTTTGTTTTGTTAAATAATGTTGCAATATCTTCTCTATGTGACCACTAGGAGGCACAATATGACCATTTTCATTCTGGTGGAATTTATTAGGCATACTTCTGATACTCTATAGGAGACCTAACATATGAAGCTACCTATTCCTGATTCCAGAGAGGGAGGGAGGGTGGGAGAGGGTGGGAGAGAGAGGGGGAGGGAGAGGGAGAGGGAGGGAGGGAGAGGGGGAGAGAGAGGGAGAGGGAGGGAGGGAGAGAGATGATATATCATGAACATGCCCATTGTAAAATTATGTTTGGCAATCAGAGATAAGTTGTACATAAACTTTATATTTCTATTTTCAGTTTCATTCAGTTTTAAGCACCTGTTATGTTTTTGCTTTGCTCTGCAAACATAATATATGTTCCCTGGTGTTTTGTTCCTCTTGCTTTTTTTCCTGTTACTATTTTAAAAGCGATAAACATAAATCATTGGTATTATAATTCCAATAAGAGCATGAGTGTCTTAGCTGGATTTGCAAAACACACTTGGGCTAGGAGAAATAAGGTAAGTGTTTTTGGATTCTGCTTCTCTAGAAACCTGCCATTATCTTAATGTGTTGTGAGCCAGCTCATCACCTTAGGCCACAACATGATTTAGTGTGTTGTGCAAAGCCAGCTACTTATGTGGAGAAGCCACAAAGACCACAGTTTTTGGGGAAACAATTAGGTTGCAGGCACAAGAGAGCCATAACAGACACTGACAAAGAGATCAGAAGCTAACACTTAGGGATCACCCAAAATAGCAATTTGCTGCTAATATCAATAGTAATTATCTCTAAAGCACCTGAGGACAGGACAAGAAGTAGAAGATGGAAGCTTAGTAAAAAAGGAAAAATTTCCTATCAGTGAGAACAATTTGTTAACGGCTTTTGTTAACGGCTTTTGCCTCCAGAAGTTGGGAGTGCTCCATCACTGGAGGGTTTTTACGAACGAATTGGACAACCGTATATCTGGAATGGTATACGGTTTCCTTCAGAGGGTTGGACTAGAAGACCTCCAAGGGCCCCTTCCAACTCTGTTATGTAATAACGTAATCCTACAGTGTGGGATTCTGGCCTTGCAGGCCCTGCAGATCTTAAAAGTGTCTTGGAATGTTTAATATGAGGGAAGAGTCTTAGAACAAAATATACATAAAATGATTACCCTTTAGTTAAAGGGTAATCATTTTATCTATATTTTGTTTTAATTAACCAGAAAGACAAATGAAATGAAACCTAGTTTCTGTCTTAATCCAACCTCTCCCTCTCCCTCTCCCTCCCTCCCTCCCTCTCTCTCTCTCTCTCTCTCTTGAATTATACTCTAGATGGTCCCCCCCTCCACAGAATTGCTCACTTCCCCTCATTTAGGCTGCTTCTAGCTTTCCATCTTGCAATGCCATCAGTAGAAGATATGGGCTGCCCTTCCATCAGGTCTATGACAATTCTCCAGGGCTAACTCACCACAGGACAACTCGTTGCGGGACAAGAGTTACACTAATATCAAAGAATTAGAATTCTTTATTGGCCAAGTGCAGTTGGACACACAAGGAATTTGTCTTTGGTGCATAAGCTCTCGTTGTACATAAAAGCTATAAGTGATAAATCATGATCATGGTCATCATAAAAATACATACCTCATAAATCATAAGATACAACACTTAGTGATAGTCATAGGATACTAAATAAGCAATCAACATAAATCATACTAGGAAACTAAAGAAAATAATCTAAATCGTTAAGATACAAGCAACGAAGTTGTAGTCATAAGTAGAAAAGGAGATAAGTAATAGAAAAGATGAGAAGAATATTAATACAGTCTTACTAAATAGTTTGACAGTGTAATATCAAAGGAATTGTGGAATAGTATAATTAAAGAAAGGATGCAAAATAAGGGACAGAATGAAATTTGAATGGCAAAAATTAAAATCATTTTTATTTGTTTAAATACTTTAAAACAATTGTTAAATTGTCCCGCAGCGAGTTGACCATGGTGAGTTGGCACAGCATGTTGCCTGAGGCAAGTTGTCTCATTCCCTCTTCCATCTTTCCACCTAGGTGTATAGAAAGAGACAGAGATGGACAAAGATATGGGGAAATTTGAGATAACTACAAGAGGAAGGTACAGTCAGCTAAGATTGGTCCAGCTGCTATGCTGGCTGGAGAATTATGGGAGTTGAAGTCCACAAGTCTTAAAGTTACCAGGTTTGGAGACCTCTGGCCTAGATGATTGAGTCCTCATTGACTGGTCAGCTAAGAGCGTCTGCAAATTCCAAAAGCAATTGCAAAAATAAATTTGTTGCTGGAAGCACTCCTGTGAAGAAAATCCAAGCCACCCACTGGCTAAATATCATACTTTCCTCCTCCTTTCTATGGATTCTCAGCGGTGGTTGTTTTCAAAACACCTGAAATACAGCTCTTAAAGCAAAACGTATAGCAGCAACACAGTGCCAAACAGCCTCATTATTTTTAAACATGGTAACATAAATTGCAGCATTTTTTAAAAAAATCATTTCCGTGCTGTGGCCCAGCACATGTTTTATTATTTCCTCTTCTCTTGTGCACCTGTGCAAAAGAAAACTGCATACAGTGGAGGAAATAACAGAGTTGGAAGGGACCTTGGCGGTCTCCTAATCCAATGGTCGCCAACCGGTGGGCCAGGGACCACTGGTGGTCCGCGAGAAAATTCTGAGGTCTGCAGAGAAATGTCGCCCCCAAAGCACACACCCCCCAAAGCAATTAATCCAGGCTGCACAGGAATACAAGGCTGTGCAAACCTTACCTTGAATAGAGCCACGCGAGCTGGAACTGGAAGGTAAGACCAACGGCAGGGGAGGGAAATCCACCCCAGGATGGCTTGCTGATGTTGGTGGGAAAGTCGGTCCCATATTCCAGAGCTGGAGTAGTCACAGGACTGGCCCTTTGGTCATCCTGGAGCAGCTCCTCCAGTCCATGGCAGGCCGGTGCACCCGGGTGGAGGAGCAGCTGCTCCGGGATGACCAGAGGGCCAGCCCTGTGACTACTGGAGCTGTGGAATATGGGTCCAACTTTCCCACCAATGTCAGCAAGCCACCATCAGTCAAAGTTCATATTAGTGGTCCACGGGATTTAAAATTATGAGTTTGGTGGTCTCTGAGGTCCAAAAGGTTGGCGACCCCTATTCTAGTCCAACCCCCTTCTCAAGCAGCAAACCCTCTGCTATTTCAAACGAACAGTTGTCCAATCTCTTCTTAGTCAACTAGGGCTTTCCTACTACATGCTGATATCCTTGTCTACCCAAGTAAAGGCCCCATCTCTTTGTTCTTTGCAGGCAAGCTGGACATCACCCCTGATGACCCTCGGTGGATTGGCGCATGGTGGGCTGGCTTCTTGCTCTGCGGTGCCTTACTTTTCTTCTCGTCTCTGCCAATGTTTGGATTCCCACAGTCCCTGACCTGCCAGCCGGAGCACATAGCAGAGGTAGAGGAAGCCATGTTGCCAGAAGGGGACTATGAAAGGCCAAAGCCAAGCAATGGGATTCTCCCACCGCACTCCATGGAAGCGAACGATGATCCATCTTGCTTCCAGCAGCTGAGAGGTGACGCACTTCCTTCATAGCCCAGGTGGCTTCTGCGGGAGCCAACAAGGTTAATGACTAGCTAGATTCATTACCTGATGCGGACCTTAGATTGCCTTGCACGTCTTGACTTCTTTCCTTCAAAATAGTTATTCTACCCACCATTTGATGGGAGGGAAATAATTACAGCCTTGTGCATTAGTCCTGAGCACTGAAAGGAAAACTGAATTAACACTTGAGCTGGTTCACCTTCTTGGGTTGACCTTGGATTGACCCAGCAAGCAGGTTTTCCATTTGTTCTCATGGAAACCTTTGATCCTTTGTAAGTAGAACATTTGTTTCTAGGATCAAATAGTCTGTTGCGTCTTGCTCTCATCCGATGATGGGGTACCATTGGCATTACCATGCCAATTTAAAGGTCACAGTGACAAAAAGTATGGTTGCTCCAGAGTCAAATGACTTCTTTTTAGAACCGGTCACAAAAAGGATTTTGCATCTGAGCACATAGGTGTTATGAACTACCAGTAATCCTTGATTTACAACAGTTCATTTAGTGACCTGTGATGACCCAAGGTGTGGCACAAAGGCAACATAGTCAGAGAATAAGAATGAGTCCCTTTATTAGCTCCAACTTTGTCTCCAATGACCCGGTTACCTTCTGGTCTGGAGAAAAACTCTCCCACGAACCTGCACCAGCTTTTGGCTGCAGATATTCCAGTCCAAACATTGTAAATGGAAAACTTTAAACTACAAATCCAACAAGGCAAAATAAGGTAATGAAGTAACAAGGCAGTAAATCAAAGCAGTTGGGAGGATGCCAGGAACTCAGATAACCGCAGCCAAACACAAGATAAACTCAATGTTTTTTCCTGACAACCGTCCCTCCCACCTGCCTCTCCTTTAAACTCCCTCCCCAGGTGTGCCTTGTAAAGGGAATCAGGGCCCTTTCCTCCCTTGTAAGCCACGCAACCCATGTTGCTCTCTTCTCCATTCTTCCTCCACAGCCAACGGAGTCACTCTCCCGCTCCCTGATGGCTGTTTGTCTTCCTCCTTGGATTCAGACTCCAATGGGGGCACAACATGACGGTTTGAAATTACCGTGGCATGAAAAAAGTGACTTCTGATTGTATTTTCACACTTATGACCGTTGTATCATTCCCGGGGTCGCGGGCTCAAAATTCAGACACTTGGCAACTGACTCATTATTTATGACAGTCGCAATGTACATGCGACCCCCTCTCCCTTTTGTGAGTCAAAAGTCAATGGGGAAGCCAGATTCATTTAACAACCATGTTACCACGTTAACGCCTGTAGGGATTTACCAAACAATTATGGCAAGGAAGGCGGTAAAATGGAGCAAAACTCACTTAGCAACAGCATTTGGGGGTACGAAGTGGACATAAGTTGAGGACTGCCCGTACAAGAGATGGAGAGAATGAGAGAGTGATAAGGAAAGTCCAAGCAATGACATTCCATGGAACCAAGCTCCAAACGGAAGGGATCTTGGGCCTTTTACTCTGTCTTGAATGGTTGGAGGCAAGACCTGGTTGGTATTGCTAAAACGCTATTCTTATCTACCTAGGAACATAAAATTTAATGTAAAGTGTTTCTCTTTTACTCTCCACTTAGTATGGCAGATTTATATCCCAGCTAATTTTAAATCAACAGTCCAGAAATAAAATGGTCTTTCCACTGAAAAAAGAAAAACAAGACAGCCGTGGTCATTCCAAGAAGTAACATCTGAATAAAGCTATCCATAGTCTTTGCTGGGGGGGGGAGCATATATTTGTAGAAGTGACCAATTCTGTTTCAAGCAGCGCTGAGCCTTGTCGGAATTTCCTGGAAGTGAAAATCTGAAGTTGATTCCTAACAAAATCCACATTAAAGTGCTTTTCCATCCCTCATCCAGCTACAGTTTTAATTTCTCATTGTGCCTCCTTGAAACATTTCTTTGAGACCCAACGGGGAAGTTACGCCAGAGGTGGTATTCAGCAGGTTCTAACCAGTTCTGGAGAACCGGTAGTGGAAATTTTGAGTAGTTTAGAGAACCTGAAAATACCACCTCTGACTGGAGATTTTACAGTATCCTTTCCCTGCCGTACCCACCAAACCACCCCACAGAATCGTTAGTAAAAAAAATTGAATCCCACCACTGAGTTACACAGCTATGTAGGCTTCACCTACAACCTGCAGAGCTGCTAGTCCTCACCAAATGGCACTTACTCAGAACACCAGAAGAGAAAGATTCTGTAGTTCAATGGGCTTGAATGAATTGAATTGAATTCTTTATTGTCATTGTACATATATACACAGTATACATACAACAAAATTCACATAACACCCAGAGACCAGACTCAACATGCACACACACATGACAATCCCCAAACACCTCCCCACCCGCCAAAATCCCCCACCTCCTAAAAACACACAAACATCCACACAACAGACCAGGTAATACTGTCCAACAGCTCACTGATGGTGGTCTTAAAGTAGGTGATATGGATCCTTTAGAAGAAGCATTTATAGTTGAAGGACAACCTCATTTTTCTCAGCAGTAGCAATAGCACTTAAACTTATATACCACTTCACAGTACTTTACAACCCTCTCTAAGCAGTTTACAGAGTCAGCTTACTGCCCCCAACAATCTGGGTCCTCAGTTTACCCACCTCGGAAGGGTGGAAGGCTGAGTCAACCTTGAGCCTGGTGGGATTTAATCTGCCAAAATGGCAGCCAGCAGTCAGCAGAAGTAGCCTGCAATACTGCACTCTAACCACTGTGCCACCACAGCTCATTTTCAAGGGGAAGTTTTGTCTCCCAAGGCAGGACAAGAAGCAATGGATAGAAACCAATCAAGGAGAGAAGCAACCTAGAACTAAGGAGAAAATTCTTAACAGTGAGAACAATTAACCAGTAGAACAAATTGCCTTCAGAAGTTGTGGTTGCTCCATCATTGGAGGTTTTCATGAAGAGGTTGAACAACCACTTGTCCAGAATGGTATCAAGTCTCCTGATTGAGTAGGGGCTGGACTAGATGACTGCCAAGGTCCCTTCCAATTCTGTTATCCTACAGGGGTCTGGGAACAAAGGCATCTTTCTGTAGGATATTTCTGCACCTGGAAACTCCTGAGAGCAGATTTTAAATCTGCTAGGAAAAAGAGATTCATTTGACAAGTAAGAGCAGGTGGCATAATCAAAAGGAGGTTACTTAGCATGATGGCATATCTGGCATTCTCTTTAAGAGGGCGGCTTCTTCAGCTCTGCTTTCTTACTCCAACCTCTGCTAGCTGGTGAGATAAACATTGGAGCATCTGGAGGAAAAAAAAGGGCTTGTCTAAGCTAAATCACGTTACAGAAGGTGGGAAAACAAAGTAAGTGTGAAGTGAAATGAGGAATTTGCAGAAGGCAAATGAGTCCCATTGAGGATTCAGCAGCTCTTCACCAACGTAATTTCAACCTAAATTATTTTCACTTGGAATTTGCACAGGGGTTGGTTGCCACATATTAAGGAATTCTTGCTCGTATTAGCATCCCATCTGGCTCAAGCTGAGTTGTCTCCAGAGGAATTAAAATCCCTACCCAAGTAGACGGGTTGCTCTGGCTCACTGAATTAATTGAGGAGTCCCTCTGTAAACTCATGTTCTCAGCTTTTGCGTTCACTTCTCCAAAGCCATGAGGAAGCTTTGTGGAGTTTTGTAGCCGAGCAGATCATCCGGGGATGATCTTGGGGTGAAATTAATACTAATGAAAATAAAAGATTTCAGGAGCACACCTACACACATGTGGGATGCAATTATGGTAAGATAGAACTTCAAAGTGGCTGAATTGAACTTCACTGTTATTTTATTTATCATAGGGCACATTCACATCACATTTCAAGAACAATGCAAGATATTAAAATACAAAATGAGGGATGTAAAATACAACTTCACTGGTATTTTATAATACATGTAGACGTGTGAAAGCAGCATACATTTTCTCAGGTGTTTCTATCTGGCAGGAGATGGTTGATTCAGCCCCTACGAAGAGGTACCCACTGGACCAGTGGATTATCTGTCACTGGTCTAGAAAAGGAAGTAGGACTCATTCTAACACTAGATCTAGAGCATATCTAGAGACCAGGTTGAGCTCAACTCTTCCATTGTTTTGTGCTATGAATTCAGTAATCCAGAGGTCTCAGATTGTTGGGGACAATACACTGACACTGTAAACCGCTTAGAGCAGGCTGTAAAGCACTGTGAAGCGGTATATATGTCTAAATGCTATTGCTATTGCTAATCAGAATCAAACTAAGTATCCATGCAATGCATTCAGTGATCACTAGGTGGGCCTGTGTACCTCTTAATAGTCCAGGTGAGTTAGACTGACAGTGGAATATATACATACAGATCATCTCTTGTAGCTTTCAGTGAATATGGTCCAAACCCAACAAAATCAACAAAAGAATAAAACCACAAACAAAACTAATGTACAAGAAATAGAGAGAGAGAGAGATTGTGTTTTTCAAGAGATGGGACTAAAAAAATGGTGGACTGAAAAAATATATTTCTTTAAGAGAAGGAGAGGCTTTAATAATTTTTCCCCAAAGGTGGGACTCCCACGATGGTGACAGTCGCACCAATATTAAAAAAGCTCCGGGGAGGGAAAAATGGCTAGCAAAGACCGTCTTTGGAGGGATACATGCACAAACACACACAAACACACTGCTACCTTTTTCTATCCACCTTATAATTGACAAATGGAAGGCATTTGTCTTCTGCCCAGGAGAATTTCTCCAATATTCTCTTCTCCTTTGAAAGACATTAAAAAAACAAAAACATTTCCATTTTCTTTAAGGAATAAGAACTAGCAAGGAAAAAAAGCACAGGAGAATTTCTGTGCCCAGCATTAAAATAGGCAACAGGGCCAGTGAGGTTTGTAAACCATGCAGTCGTCTCAAAACTTGAATGCCTAAGATGATTATATGCTCAGAAATGGAAAGATTCAACATTATCCACTATGGAGGATTTGGTGAAATTCAGATTTTGTTGAAATGGATGGATTTACTTCTTTGATTAGAAGGGGGGGAAAAGACTAATTTATTGGTAATTAAAAGGCTCTTGTGGCCATTTATGTAAAAAAAAAGATATAGTTTTAATGATTAAATAGGATAGATTACAGAAAAAAACAAGACTACAGAGTAACTTTAGAGAGAAAGAGGTGAAATATATTTATACTTATAACTGCTGAGAAGACCAGAAGTCATTTTTATACCTTTTTTCTTTTTCTACTTTTTTCTTTTTTTCTTTTTTCTTTTTCTTTATATTAGTTGGCATTAGTTTTCATTTCTTGTTTAAAACTTTAAAAAAAACCTGAGGAGTGCAAAGACATCACGTTCTGTCCTTGAGAACATCTCCAGAAGTTGTCTTACTTCTTAAATGTCCTTTACACTTCAAAGAAAAATTCTCTTTTATGCTCTTCAATGAGAAATCGCAAAAAACAAAATCTCTTTGTGGTGATTTTTGCCCCCCCCCCCCCCACTGCTGTTGCTAAATGGATCTAAGTTGGTTAGTTATTTTAAAGATGGATTGTTTTAAACTCTCTTGGACTGTCCTTCAACTGCTGTGAATACCTTATAACAAGGAATTGGGGTAGAAATATTCCAGCAGCTAACAACAACAAACAAAAGAGGAAAATTTCAACAAATAACAAGATATGGAGATCAAGGAATGCTCCAATAGTAAATTTAGGAGAATATGGCTGGAGATGCCATGTCCAAGTTGCCATTTGACAGTTTTAATTGTGGAATGCTAGGTGCTCTTTGAGCTTGCTTGTTTTCTTACAGACGTTTCGTTACCCTAACTAGGTAACATCATCAGTGCTAGTAAGGAAACAGGGTTTGTTTTGCTCTCATTTTGTATACTATTGGCTTGCTCTCTCAGTGTTGGTGGGGATGGACTCCTTGACTGGGATGTTGTTTTAGTTGTGATTGGCTAGCAGGGTTGTATTCTTTCACTAAATCTTCTGATCCAGTTTAGGAATGCAACCAAATGAGCAATTCTAGCCGTGAGTGCTTGTTTTTAATTATAAAGTTTGGTGGAAACTTCCTTCACTGAAGTGTCTTTCTTATGGTTCTGTTTCCACCCTGGATATCACCCCGATGACCTTCAGTGGATTGGAAATAGATGAGCAGATGCCCTTGGCTTAAACTCATGTGGTCAAAGCATCATCTGGCAGATCCTTCTAGCTAGACCAGCTATGGTGTATCTGACTCTACCCTCCTCAGCTAGAATCAACCCATGGAATTTTCTCCCTGTCCACATTGGGATATGTTGATAGATGGTCTGGAGAAAACCCCCAAAGATGCACCGTTAAAGAAATTAGGGTGGCAATTAGAAAACTCATTGTGAAATTGTCCCTCCCTTCTTCTCTCTTCCTCCTTCCAGTGATCCCAAAGGTAACTAAGCACCTGCTGTCCAATCCGGTGTTCACCTGCATTGTTCTTGCGGCTTGCATGGAGATTGCGGTGGTGGCAGGTTTTGCAGCCTTTCTTGGCAAGTACCTGGAACAGCAGTTCAATCTCACAACGTCATCAGCCAACCAGTTATTAGGTGAGTTATTAGCCAGAAGAGATCAACCCTTTTCCCCCTCCGGTGAAGAATAGAATCTAGGGGTCAACATCCCACTTGAGAATCCAAATACAAGTCCAGGATCATTCTGTTTCCAAAATTCCTTACTGTTTGTTGAATACACCGCATAGTAATGTCGAAGCAAAATGAACTCTGAAGTTACTAAACCTCAGTCCGTAGAATAAAACAACATTTTTCCAATCCAACCCCCCCCCCAGCCTCTCACATAGACCGTATAAAAAACGTTCTCAAGGAAACCGTCTGCTTCAGCTCCACACCTGCTGTGATGACAGATCCCAAGTTTCCGTGGCCTTCAGCGGAATCATAGAAGTTTCATTTCCCCATCCAACCCATTCAAAAACATCCGCTTCTTACTCTAATGACAAGATGAAATGAAAAGGCACTTAGCCACCAAAATGTCAACTCGTAAAAATTTCTATGCCTGTTTTTCAAGTTGCCATAAACAGGGTGGGAGGAAACCTGAAGGAGAAGTATGGCAGTAAATCCAGAAGTACATTCCAGCATTATCTTAAAAAGATTGTAGCTAGACTACCAGATCTTCTGGCTGAGAACGTCCTTTATTGGAGAACATGATTGATGACATCCGGCCCATGAACATGCTTCATTGGAGAATCTGATTTATTATACATCGGGGGAAGAGGGAAACAGGGTCACAGGGGACTGTGAATATAAATCTTTCGAGTTTTTTTGAAACTTTTCTCGAGGCTCATGATTTACTTAGAGCTATATTGCTGGAACCCTAACAAGTAAGCCAACTTTCCATGCTTGACACAAAGAACCAAAGAAGTGTCTTGAGCTGGGATCAGGCTAAGAACTCAAAATCCAACCCTTTGCAATTGTCCGTTCCCTTTACAGGCATGACGGCTATTCCCTGTGCATGCTTGGGCATCTTCCTAGGAGGCCTCTTAGTGAAGAAGCTGAGCCTTTCTGCCCTGGGTGCCATTCAGATGGCTATGCTGGTCAGCCTGGTGTCCACGGCATGCTACGTTTCCTTCCTTTTCCTGGGCTGCGACACGGGACCTGTGGCTGGCATTACTGTTCCCTATGGAAACAAGTAAGTAAGAGAGAGAAAACACTTCCCCCCTTGATGGGGATTTATTAATTTTTTAAAAAAAATATAAATGTGGAACTGCAGGCTTGCACCCCTACTGAAGACCGCAGAATGGAACCATAAAGTTGGAAGGGACTTAAGAGATCACAAAGTCCAACCCCCTACACAGGGCTCGCCATCCTTCATAGTTGGCTGTCCAGCCTCTTTGGTGGATCTTTGCTGGATTTAGCAAGCAATGAGAGAAAGCTCTGAAGGCATCTGCGAGAAGCAGAGGGAAAATGGGAATAGGAATAGTCATGAAAAGGTGGTTTGTTAAAAATGGTTTATTCCAAACTTGGAGTCAGTTCAAGTTGTTCTTTAACAATTTGTTGGATTCACGGCTCGTCTGTTCTTTATAATGTCAAAGAGCTGTGCCCAGCATTAGAACACCGCTGTGGGATTGCCTGGATTGACTGATAGTGACAGGCTTTCCAGAACTTCACAATTCTAGTCCATCAGTTGCTGAGGGACATCAGTGAGTAAAGCCAGTTGCTGTATGTCCTGGTGGGATTCCAAGAAGTGTTTGGCCACAGTGAGAAATCAGGAGCTCAGAAGGTGTTCAGCTTCCTAAGGCCCCAACCAGACCCCAACAGTATCTTGAATGTCCTTTCTTTCTTTCTTTCTTTCTTTCTTTCTTTCTTTCTTTCTTTCTTTCTTTCTTTCTTTCTTTCCTTCCTTCCTTCCTTCCTTCCTTCCTT